ACATGTTTATGTTGAGAGATTCCTGGCCATGTGTGGTTGATAGTTGGAAATACCTATTAGGAAGTCAGGAGAAAGGTGTGGGTTAGTGATCTAGTTAGACTTAGGTGATATAGGTGGTCATTGAAGCTGTGGCTGTTGATGAGATTGACTAGACAACAAATACAGAAATGGAAAAAGGACATGGCAGGAACCTAAAATTTTCCAATATTTAACTTTTTGTAGAGGAGAAAGACCACGTGAAAATTTGTCTTCTAAGTCCACACTAAGCTTTTCACAAAATATTTCTTTCATCTGACCATCTGGATTTGTTTTTACCGCCCATCTTGAACTTCTGAGATAGGGAGGTTAATGACCGCTTACCTGATGGTTTTGCTTTTTACCTGTCTTCTTTTAGAGTTAAATTCAATATTTATGATTTTATTTCCTCTTCATGTCTATTTTAATAGTTACACTTCTTTGCAAACCTTTTAGGAATTGCTTTTTAGATTTACTGTATATGTGTCTTACTCTGTTCAGGCTACTATACCAAAAACCATAGAGTAAGTAGATTTCAAAAAATAGACATTTCTTGCTCACAGTCTTAGAGGGTAAAAACTCCAAGATCAAGACCTGGGAGATTTGCTGACTGAAAACTAATGTTGTGGTTATAGTGAAGTAAGGCCCTATTTCCTCATTCATAAATGGCTTATTGTAGTCTTACCTGATGGAAGACTCAAGTGAGCACCTAGGCTTCTTTTATAAACACTAATCCCTTTCATCAGGACAGCCATCATGACCCAGTCACCTTCCAAAGCCCCTACTTCCAAATATTGTCATGTTGGGAATTTGGTTTTAACTTGGGAATTTTGAGGGGTGCACATTCAGTCCATTGGAAGTTTTAACTTACTGCCCTCTAACTTCAAGTAGTATAAACCATTTTTGTACAGCGTAAGAACTTTATATAAATTGTTCTTCCAGTTGCTTTCACTCATCTTTTGTGGGTTACATTTTACTTTTTGTACATGGTAACCCTATAATTTATAATATTGCATGCTCATTTTCTATATATATCTTGTTCTGTGCTTTTCTCTGTGCCTGTATCTGTCTTCCTCTTTCTGGTGGTGGTAGAGATTAAAATGAAGGCCTTTGTAGTGAGCTGCATTTCCTTTTAAAAAGGATCTCTCTTAAATTGCCCAGCCTGAGCTCAGGCTTGTGAATTCCTCCTGTCTCAGCCTCTCAGTGCTGGGGTTACTGATGTAGGGATTACTACCATACTGGGTTATATTTGCCTGGATTTTATTTATTTATTTCTTAAAGCCATTACAGGCAACAAAAAATATTTTAAATTTACCTTCATGTCTGGTATTCCTGGCACTATTTCATTTTATAGATCAAAGTTTCCGTTTGGTTTCATACTTAACAGCTGAAGAACTTACTTATATAATTATTAACCAGCTGATATTACAGGAAATTGTTTCAGCTTTGTGTGTATGTGTGTAGGACCTTAATTTGCTTTCATTTTTGAGAGATATTTTCGCTATACTGTAATTCACATTTTTTTTTTCTCTTTTGAGCATTTTAAGGTATCACTCCACTGTTTTCTGACTTGCAGTTTTGGAGGAGTTTACCGTAGTTCTTATCTTTATTCCTCTATGCATGATTTTTTTTTTGTCTCTAGCTACCTTTGAGATGTTTTCTTTATCTTGGGTTTTAGTGTTTTATCTATAATGAATATAGGAGTGCAGTTTTTTTGTGGAGGGAGGTGGTGCTGTGGGTCAAACTCAAGGTCTCACATATGATAGGCAAGCCCTGTATCTGAGCTATACATCTTTCTGCTTAGTGTTTGGTGTTCTTTGAAAATTTTGCATGTGTGGGTTGAAATCTTGCATTCTTTTTGAAAAATTCTTGGCTGTTAACTTTTTCAGACTTTCATTCTAATTCTCTTTGCTTTCTTCTTCTGAAATGTTAATGTATTATTCCATAGTTGTCAGATGGTTTCTTGAAAACATTTTTTAAAAGTTTTATGCACGTGTATGCATTATGTTCTGATCTGTTTTCAAGTTCTCCAAGTCTTTCTTAGTTGTGTCCAGTTTACTGATGAGCATGTCTAAGGAATTCCAATATGTTTTTTAGATTTGGAGGCTGTTAGGAATTAAACCAAGATCTTGTGTATTTTAGGCAAGCACTGGCATATTGAGCTTCACCCCGAGCTGAAAATTACTAATAATCTTGCTTATATTTGTTTGTTTTTTACTAACATTGTTTTCCTTACAGTTCTCATATATCTGGAAATTCCCTTTCTCTTTGTGCAAAATACTGCCCCCACCCTTTTTCCTGCTGGATCCCTTAACATGTTAATCGTATTAATGCTTTTTGTGTGATGGTCTGTAATACCTACGCCTGAGCTGTCTCTTGTTTGAATTTGTTGATTATCTCTGGACAGTGGAATTTCCTTTCTGTTCTGTGTCTTACTCTTAGAAATCAAAACCAGGGCTATGTGGGTATTAGGCAAGCACTCTGCCACTGAGCGAAATCAGCAATCATATCTGATACTTTTTGACCCAAGTAGCAGATAACATATGTAGCAAAATGATAGAGACTGAAGCTAATAACATTTGTACTTGTAAAAAGGACAAACATCTTTTTTTCTCAGTCCATTCATGTGGGAAGTTGAGTCAGTCTGTTCTTGAGCAAAATTTGGGTTTTGTTGGTGGTGACTTTGTCTTTAGTATACTACCAACTTTGTATTCCTCCAGTTATAGGTTCCTGTTACTTTGTGCTTGGTCTGAAGTCTAGGTACTGTAGAATTTTTTCATTTTTCCCTCTCTTTAGATTTAATTGTGTCTTCCCACCTTGCTGTAGATGAGAGTATCTCTCAATGCTTTTGCCCCTCTGTCAGTAACCTGCTGCTGTAAACTAGAACTAGGTTTTTGATAGGAGCAAGGGGTTTCTCTATTCTGTTGATACAGCCTCAGGCCCCTGAACTTGAGGGTCAGTCCGTGTTGTGCCCCCCCCCCCCCAGCGTTTCTTTCCCTTAGTCCCGACTAGCCTTGTGTCTGTAGTTGCTTTTAGATGGGAGGTTCCTGTTCCATATCTGTCTGTAGCAGACCTCTGTTACAGAAAGTAAGGGGTCCTGGACTGAAGGTTGTTTTGTCTACCTCTGTGAGGGCTAAAAAAGATTTTGGTTTTGCCTTTTCTAGCACACCAGCAACTCTTTACTTGTGTCCTGGGAAGGAGTTTCCTATCTTTCCCTAGAGACAGAAGTCTTTTGTTTCTATTCTTCCCCCAGAAGTAATGACTCTGCCAGAGTTTTATGGTTAAGAGATTTTGCTACCTCTACTTCAAATTTATGTAATTTTTTTGTCTTTTTTTTTTTCTTTGTAATAGTTTTGAAAGATTGGTGGGCTTTGTAGCTTCTTTACCCCTAGTCTCGTAGTGACAATCACCTCTTTCACTCCTATCACTAAGGGAGACTTTTTTGGTTCACTTAACATCAGTCTTTCTAACTGGTAATAAAGGCTTCATGCAGAACAATTGAGTAGAACTTCCCTTGTTCCTGGAGCTCTTGTTATCCCAAACTGATTTGGCTTTTAAAATTTGAGCTGATTTTTTTATTACCTGCTTAATGGTTGCCAATTTTTATGTTTATATTTTTGGGTTTGTTTTTTTTTTTTCCTTTTTTTCTGTGCTCTGCCCAAGGTAAGAAAGCTTGACTGTCTAGTTTCTCCTTGCATAGCCTTTTCCCTCTTAGGAATGTAGCTTGCTTGGCTGTCTTGCAACCTGAGCTCTCTGGTGTGCTCAAAAATAGGTACTCTCCCCCCTCTCTTTTTTTTTTTTTTTTTTTTTTTTTCTTTTTAAAGCTTACTCAGTATTTTCATGCTGTTTATATCTCAAGCAAAGAGACTTTCCATTTAAAAGTTTTAAATTGCTACTTTGGTAATAAGATAGTGCATTTATATTCTGTGTATAACTTTTCAAAGTTTTTAAATCCTAGAATTGCCCTTTTGAGAAAGAGATTTTACTACAGATATTCTTAGATTTCTGAATTTTATATTAAAAATAAAATTACCTCAAAGTTGCCATTGAAACAGTGGTAAATCACTTGAATCATCTTGCCACCAAATCCCCCACCCTTTGGGAACAAACAGAATTATTTGGGAGTAAACTTTGGAACCTATAATTGAGAAGATAAGGACTTTGAGTATTTTTTGTAAGAACTGAAGTTCCACGTTTTCATGAACAGATTTTCTATTTCATAGACTCTTTAGATTTCCAGAGACATTTTCCTGCCACCTGTTTATTCCTTTCTGATACATTTAGGATACTAGACCTTGCTTGTCCTCTGTTGCTAGTGTCTATCTGCCCCTACCCTCTCACCTGTCTCTATCTCCCCCCACTGCCGTGTATTTTCTTACAAATATAATAAGAACCTAACTGGCCTTTTTATTTTTTCTGGTGATGCTGGCGCTCAACCCAGGGTCTTGTGTGTGCTAGATAGATGCTCATCTACTGAATTATACCTTATCTGTTAACATTTTTAAAAACTGAAAAGGTGGTACACTTGTACCTTGTACTGTTTGGACCTAGCAGGAAGTTTAAAAAAACAGCAACAAAAAAAGATAATAGTTATCACCTAAAATCCCACACAGAATAACTTCTAACATTTTGCATTCTGGTTTGTTTCTAAGAATAAATAAATTTAAAACTACAGTTAAATTCTTGGTATGTATACAATTTTGTATTTAGCATTTAATATTTAATATTACCTCACAGGCATCTCTCTGCCTTACAAAATGATCTTAAACTTTTACATTATTATGGAATCCACTAGAAATTACCTTTACTTGTTACCTTTGTAGTATTTGTAATTTGAAAGTCAGAAAAATTTAAAGCTTATTTTGAAAAGCTTATTCTATTTATAATTATATCACAAGGTATAGAAATAGTTGTTTTTGATTCTGTTTTTAAAGATGGGTTTTTTGGATTCCATTGACCCAGTGGCTTTTCTCCTTTAATTTCAGAATTCCATACGTCATAATCTGTCACTCAACAAATGTTTCCTTAAAGTGCCTCGATCCAAGGATGACCCCGGAAAGGTAGGATTCATTTTCTTAAAACAAAGCAGTTGTATTTTCTATATGTCTCTGGTCATGTTTGAATCTTAAGAATTTGTCTAGTTGATCAGGAAGTTTTGTGAAATAGCACCCCTACCCTATCTCATTTAGTTGGTATGCTTCAAAGACCAACCAGTTAGGTAGAGCTTTCTTTTTAAGCATTAGGAAATTAGTTAGAGAGCTAGTGCTTTGTTATTGTTTATGCATTCTAATTCTAATGTGGTCTTTGATTGCTTTAAGTGTTGTGTATTGAATCAATACAGTGTTTGAATTGCTTGTGAGGAACCACATAGATCTGTGTGTAATTTACAAAAGGAAAAGTATTCTAACTTTGAAATAAAGTTGTTTCTATGTTAATATTCTGTTTTCTTAGTGGCTGTGTTTTCTTCTTGATTCTGTTTATCTTCTGTCATCATCACAGTTTCAGCATTTTATCTACAGAGACATTTTTGTTTGCTTCAATAGCCATGTCAACTGTAATGTGGCCTTAAGTTTGTATAGTGGCTTAGTTTCTAAAGCTCAGAGTACTTGGTTGGACCATGTTTGGTTGATAATTTACCGTGATAATTTACTAGATTACGATTTCAAGACAGGATAACTGTTGGCAAGATACCTTCTTGTTGGGGTGATTAGGCTTTTTCCTTGTCCCTGGAAGAATATTTCTAAAACAAAGATGTGTACTTTGTTATAAAATATCATCTTTTGTTTTTCTGATGTTACCATTCCAGCTGCAGTTTACTTTATTCAAGGCTCAGTGTGAGGAACATCTTGAAGTTTTTCAAACATAACTTTCATGTGGTCTTATTGCATCTTTTTCTGTATTTCTCTGGCCAAGTTCTTTTCTTTGAAAATTGGGTTACAACATTAGGTCTTTGAAGCTTTGTTTTTCCATACCTCAGTTGAGTTTGTTGTTCCCTTTTTTTGGTCTCTGTTTCTTTGTAGCCTTTTCATTGTTACAGTACCTCCTAACTTGTCTGTTTTTTTGGACTCCCTTGCTCCAATTTATAGTTACTTTCACACAGTAGTTGTCAATTTTAAGAATGTTAACTACAGTGATCATACAGTGTCTGCGTTCTCCAACTTTTAATTCTTCTTTGCCCTTAGGTTAAAGTCTAAACATATGAGGTTGTAGGGATAACATGTACTGTGCTCACTGTTTAGCCCCAGTCGCTTGCACAGTGGCTGGTAGCACTGAGGCATCCTGGTATGACTGTATTGGGGCCTCTACCAGACTGTTAACTTCCTGAGGTTATAGATGGAGAATTTTTCATTTCCGTGTTAAAGTACACTCCTGTGTAATACTTTATAGCACTTTGAGTGATCTGACCAATCAAATGGTTATCAAAACTGAGTAGATTATTAAAGTCTTATTTTTTTGCCTATATTTATAACTAAGATGTGACAGCAATTGGTGGCAAAATTCTTTTCCCTTTAATACTGACTTATTATCATGAATTAGAATTTTCTATATATCTTTCATTATAATTTTTTATAGTATATGTAAATCATATTGAAAAATATTTTATTAGAAATCTGAAGGCTAATTGGCTTTTATAAAGAATTAGTTTCAGTTTGATTTTTTAGAAAATTAAAGATAGTAGAAATGAAAAATTAATTCACATGAATCGTATTATATATTAAATTTTGTTCAATTGAAGATCCATTTTAAAAACTTATGCTGATAGGCTAATGTTCTTTAGTGAGAAGTTAAAGCTGTTCTAGTTAATGAAATAGTATGATGCAGTAATGCAGATGGGGAAAACATATTACTCTTTGAAGTTATTCTTTTGGAATAATGCTTATGCAACTGATTCTTATTGCAAGAGTAATGTGTAACTGAACAAAATACAGAAATGAATTGACCCCTCAGATTAAGCACTTGAACTTTTACCATTAGTGTCCAAAGTTAAAGTTGGACAACAACAACAACAACACATCGTTGTTCCCATTTATTTTGGTCACAAATGAATATCATTTGATCTTACGAAGAACACTTACAGAAATGGAGTCACTTTTATTTTTGGTCTCAAATGAAGTTTAAGCCATTGTTCTCATTGAATTTTGGTGAAAAGTAGATGTTACGAATATGATTTTACAAAATACATTTATCTGAGTTGAAAATCTTTTTTATGTCACAATGAGATTTTGTTCAAAAAGAAAGCAAAATTCCTTTGCTTTTAAAATGCTTTGAAAGCCTTACTTGTATCCCGTTTTATAAGAGTAAAGAAACTAATGCCAAAAGATAAGAAGTGAGTTAGATTTGTTGTGGAGTTAGAACTCAAGCGTAATAGCCAGACTGACTTGTTAGTCACAGAAACCCATTATAGATTGACTTATGGGGTATTTCAGGAGAAAATGAAGCTAGGTTCTTAAATTATATCATCACAAGTGTTTCTTTCCATTCTTGAGTTTTGCTGCCTTTTCTGATGGCTTTCTTATTAGCCTAGTTAATGGCACAGATGGCTATTTGCAGTTTCTGGTTTATGTTCTGTCAGTTTAAGTAACTGTAGGAAGAGTATATCTTTTGGTTTTCTTTTAGTGCCCCAGCTCATTTGGAATTACAGCAGAAGTCTTAGAATAAATGCCAAGAAAAAAATCTTGGTTTGTAGACTAATACTTTTTTCCAGTATACCAATCTTCTTTGAGAGAGAGGCCAAAATGTTAGTTAAGTTTTGGTACTTATGAATTGTTTTTTCTTTTTGTATTACAGTGTTTCCTGGCAGTTGAGGAGCTTTTCCAAAACCACCCTCACCACAGTGGGAGAAAACCATTGAGCCAAGGTGGGGTGGGAGTAGATTTTTGGTATGATTCTTGGGTATGGGGTGGACTTTAACTCCTTAGGATTTTGCTAGCTGTGATCCTGACCCCAATAGGTCCAAGAAAGTAGAACTAACTCATATAGCATCTTCTTCTATATATATTTTCATAGTATAGCTTCCTGTTCTTTGTATTACCAGAAAGGTACAAAGACTAGCATAGACTTGAAGTGTGTTGTTGAATTATAAAGGTTTTATATGACTACTTTTTTTCTTGCTCAATTCTTCATGTAAGAAATCCACGTCATAAAAGCCATTCAGGTGCCCTCTCATGTACATTGATGGTCTGAAAGCCATTCACCTCTGTTTCTTGAAATTTGCTTCAAATAACTACATTATTGTTGCCTTTAAAAAGAAATACAACCAGGTATAGTGGCACCCACCTGTAATCCCAGCATTTTGGAGGTTGAGGCAGAAGAGGACTGCTATGAATTTGAGGCCAGTGTCTGCATAGTGAGTTCAGTTAGCCTGAACTATTAGTGAGACTCTGTCTTAAGAAACCAAACAATAAAATAAAATACATACATACATACAAGGAAAAAAAGTACAAAATAAAATTATATTTTTTCATTCATGATTTTTCTGCTTTTGTGGAGGTGTAGATTTCTTTATCCTCAGATGTAACCCTTTTCTCCCTGCCTATCCTCCCATTTGTCTTCATTTTTAAAATTCTGTCTCTTACTATTTCTGTTTTCTTTATTTTTGCTGACATTTTGATCTAAACCTTTTTTGTCTTTTTATTGTGTAATGTATAATACTTCTTAATTATTTTGAAGATCAACATTTTGCTCACATTATGCAAGAGAATCAGTTAAACTTAAAGAAAAAACAGTTCTCTTTCTTTGCTTTCTAGCTTAATGTTTTTCAGCCTTCTTTCTCTTACTCCAGTTAGTGGAAATGATACTTTGACTTGTAAGGAACTAAAGGATCATAGGAAATAATTTCAACAATTGCATAAACAATTAATGACATACAGCTTCTAACAGAACTGAGAAAATTAGTAAGAAGTTTAAGGCCAGCTATTAACTACAGTTAATTCAGGGTAAACAGAAGAGCTTTTTATTTTGCTGGTGTTGGGAGAAAGGTCTTTATTACCTGGACAGGAGAAATTATAAAAGTTCAGTGACTGTAAAGATTGGGGTTTCTTGGTTTGTGGGGAAACAAATATTGTTAGAGAAATACCTTTCAAAATTTCCTACATATGGATGAAATTGTCAGCTTTCGTGGTTTTAATTTATGGTAAGAAACCAGTTTGAGCGCTGGGAAGAGAACATGACCAAGCTTGGCTGAGGGACCAATCAGAACAAAATTTGGATAGAATTAGGAATTAGAAAAATTAATATAACTTGGGGACCAAGAGTAAAGAAATGGATTTGGGCCAATGAGTGAATGTCAAGGCAAAGATGGGTTATGAGAATAAGATAAGTCATTAGACAAACCAGGGTTAAAAAGCCAAGAGTGAGCATAGATACTCACAAGATTTGAAAGATTGAATTAGGTAGAAATGGGGACTAGATCAGTGAGATAACTTTGCAGAAACAAAAGTGCTGTACCTGTACTAGAGCCCTGATGTTGTACTGCTGGTCAGAGCAGTTTAGTTGCAGCTGCTTTATATTTACATATGCAGCATTTTCTGTTCTAAGGCTGGAAAAGAACATTTTGTTGTTGTTGGCCTTTGTAGTTTCTTTTTAAAGATCTAAACTACTTTTAAAAAGTAATATTTAACTCAAATTAATTTTTAAAAATTACGTATAATAAAACACTATATAATTTTAGTGTATAATTCTGACAGTTTTGGCAAACACACAGTACAACCATTACTGTGATCAAGGTTAGAATAGAACTCTTCATTGTCCTTTGGTAGTCATCCCTTACTGAAATTTCCCCAGACCCTGCAACTAGTGATGTTTTCTGATCTTATAATTTTACCTTTTGTAGAATGTCTGAAAATAGCACTCATGTAATAGGTGTTCTTTTGAGTCTGCCTTCTTTCTTTTAGTGTAATGCATTTGAGATTCAAGTGCATGTTGTAGACATCAGTTAATTCCATTTTATGGTATATATTCCATTGTATAATTTACCATAGTTTAATCCCTATTTGAAGACCATATAGTTTGTTTCTAGTCGTAAGTTCATTTGACTGTCAAGTTCTTTTCTTTTAGGGTAAGATTCAATAATCAGTTTAACAAATATTAAAGCATAATACAAGTAATGTCATATTAAGTGGGATTGTGAGCAGATTATGATAAACATAGGTAAGGATCTGTGTCTTAGAAGTTCATTGTGATACAGCAAAACCTTATCTCCAATTTAAAAATTGTGAAAGGATTAGGTTAAGGTACTGTGATTTAAAAGCAAAATATGGCTGGTTATTAATTATTTAATAGGGCATATTTAACATTTAGAGAAGCCATTTATAGTCAGTATGCTATTTATATTTTAAAATCCATTAAGAGTAAATTCCCTAACTCTTTCTCTTAGGCAGTACTTAGCTACACTTGGTAATCAGTGTATTTATAAGTGATTAAAAATCTAGATTTGTTCAAAAAGGATTTTCTAGGAAGCTGAGTTGGCACTGGAATAGTTGTTCAGACACTCATGCAGCCAGTTAGCCAGAGTATCCTGTCTTTGACAGAGTACTTTGTTTGATCATTAATAGTCTGTTTTTGTGATTTGAATAGTGTGTGTTTAATCTCCTGCCCAAAGTAGAAGCCTGTCAGGATGAAAGACAGGTAACAGATATAACAAATACACATGAAGATTGAAGCTGAGATGTATAGTTATTTTATATATAGTACATGCAAATAAAAATAGCACTACAAATAGCTTTCTAAAATGTTGAGAAAAAAACAAGACAAACAAACCTTTGAAAATGGATTGCCAAATATAAACTTGGAGAAGGAGAGAAAAGATTAAGATGTAGCATGAATCCTTTTAAGTCACGGACAAAAATTCTGGTACCATGCCTGAAGCTCTTGAAATAGGTGTGCCTTAAGAGCTTAGAAACAGCAGAGGATATTCTATGCTTTTAATTTACTAGTGGAGGGTTAATTGAAGTATAACATTCATAGATTTAGTCTTTTAGGATGGTTAGCTACTTATGATAGAAATAGCTCTCCTCAGGAGTCAGAAGTTAGTGTTTGCCTCTTGGATTTATTGCAGATACGTTGTTTAAGCCTACTTTCAACCTGAGGTTTATTAAAAAGAAGCCATACATTATGTGATAAAGCTAAGGTACTTTGTATAGTCATAAAATTTCAACTAGAAGTAAAGTATCAGAAAAATGTCATGCATTTTATTTGAAGTAATAAATATTTTATAAGATAAAGCCATTTAAGTTTTTTATGTCTTCATTTTTTAATACATTTCCTATATTTAGATTACTTTAGGTTTCCTGACCGTAATGGACTTAGCTGTATTTGTTTGATATTTTCTAAATCAAAAACGTCGTCTAGTTTTCTGTGCCACTCTTATTCCCTTTAAAATTAATCTTGTAGGACTTTTTCCCTCATTACTGGGGATTGGACCCAGAGCCTTCATACTAGGCTACATCTCATATCTTTTTAAAATTTTATTTATTTTTATATCTTTAATTTTTTTTTTTCTTTTTTGTCTTTTTCTTTTTTATCGGTACCAGGGATCGAACTCACGACTGCCTGCTTGCAAGGCAGGTGCTTATGCCACTGAGCTAAATCCCCAGCCCCTTCTTTAATTTTTTTATGCATGCAAGTCTGATTTATTTTACTCATGGGTATAGTCTTTCATTTCATCCATTTACCTATAAAATGCTCAAGTTTATTCTTTTTATAGCTGAGTAGTACTCCATTTTATAGAAATACCACATCTTTTTATCCATTCTTCTGTTGATGGGCCTTTGGATTGTTTCCAAGATCTAGCTATTAAAAAGTGAGCTACTATAAACATGGGTGCACATATATTGCTGAGGTATGATGTTTTCAATTCTTTTGGGAAGATATCTGGAAGGGGAATAGCTGGGTCAAATGGGACTGCCAATCCTAGTTTTTTGAGGAGCCTATATACTGATATTCAGAGTGGTTGCACCAGTCTGCATTCCTACCAACAGTGGAGAGGGGCTCTTTTTTCCTCACAGCCCCTCCAGCATTTGTTATTGATTGATTTCTTCATAATGACCATTCTTTTTTGGTTCTGGGAATCGAACTCGACCTTGTGGTTGTGAGGCAGGCACTTATGCTGCTGAGCTATGTCCGCAGCCCAGTAATAACTGTTCTTTCCAGTATGAGGTGGAATCTCAGCATTGTTTCAGTTGGCATCTCTCAAATGACCAGTGATGCTGAATATTTTCCATAAATTTATTTACTGTTTGTATGTCTTCATCTGAGAAGGGTGTATTGATTTCAGGTGCCCATTTCTGAATTGGGTCTTTAAATTTGGGAGGTCTGATTTTTTTTTTTTTTTTTTTTTTTTTGGAGTTCTTTATATGTTCTCAGTAGTAATCCTTTGAGGAACAGCTAGCAAACTACTTCTTTTTTTTTTTTTTTTTTTTTTTTTTTTTTGTGCCACAGTGTGAGTTGTCTGTTCACTCTGGTGATAGTTTCTCTTGCGGGGCAAAAGCTTTTTAGTAAGATAAGATCCCAGTTGTTGATTCTTTGTAATAGTTTCTTGTGCAATCGGTGTTTTATTTGTAAAGTCTTCACCTACACTAGTGTCTTCAAGAGTTTGCCTATTTTATCTCCCAGTAGACTTAATTTCCCGTTTTAATATTTAGATTTTGGTCCATTTTGAATTTAGTGCATAATGAAAGATATGGGTACAATTTTAATTTTTGGCATATGTAGAGCTAGTTTTTCCAGTACCATTTATAAAGAGGTTATCTTTCATCCAGTGAATGTGTTTGACATGTTTGTCAAAGATAAGGTGGCTGAGCATGTCTGGAGTTGTTTCTGCATCTTCTAATCTGTTCCATTGATCTTCAAGTCTGTTTT